TGGTCCCCTGGGTGTCGCACGATGCAGTAGTGGTAGAGCACTTTCAACGCCGGCACCGTCTGGGCGGCCGTTTCAAAAAGGCGGCCGTGCAGGCGAAACGGTGCGACCGGGTCAGGTCGTGGTCAAATGATGGATTCAATCTTTGGTCAATTGGAATGCTAATTTATAGTATAATCCATAAAAAAAATACTAGTTCCTATGCTAAAGCATTGATATGTTTAGTAAACAAGCTTTAGTATAGTTGGAATGCTAATTTACTGGAGGATAATCACAAAACATCGAGACGTTGCGGGAGGAAAATGGAAAAATAGCTGGATGGGTGCTTTTAGTAGTTGCTTTTTCCGCTATGTTGATGTTTTTTTTGCTGACCTCACCAGCTAATCGGATATTCTATGTTGATATGGATACCGGCGATATTCTTTGGGAGACATTCCAACATAAAACCCCATTAAACTCCAAACTGTGGTGCTTCCCAGGTATGTTTGTTGGTTTACACCATAAACTAGTTCGATATATTTACCACGCACATCCTTAGTTCCATACTTGACCTGTTTTTTTTTCACCAACTTAGCTATCCTTTGGGAGCCTATCTATGGTTTTGTTTATTTTTTCTTTGATACATCTAACAAAAACCAACGAACATAGCCGGAATATTCATCAACTTAGCGATTCCGAACTAACCATCGGGGAACATTGACCTTCGAAATGTGATGAATCATGGTGTTGGCGTATATGGTTGTATGGCGCTAAATAGGAATTGGTGATTTGCGTCTCAAATTGAAAACACCTAATAAATAGCATAGATGTTGAACTATATATATATAAACATAATATAACATAATATGCATATCCTAAGTGTGTGAAATAGCTACCTACGTATCCTCATATCAGTCATACAATGATCAATCGCTCTTTCGTTGTTCATTGCAAATGATGTTTGAGAATTTCCACAGTACGAGCCATATTTGGAATGATTACCCTAAATCCTGTATAATCATGTATCATCATTGTTTTTTTTGGGTCTAATGTCTTTAAGCGCAAGGGACCTCTATTTAGACCTTGTGCCACAACATGAAGCCCTTCTTTTAGATGCCCTTTAAACAAACAACTGGTCAGTTTTTGACCTCGATTCCCAATTTTTTGTTGGATTAAACATGGTTTCTCTTTGACAGTCCACAAAAATTGGTCGTCTTTTGCTGGTTATGGTTGCTTTCCATCGCAAAAAACTGGTGAACTTCGTACTTTCTATAGAGGGACCCTTTCGTCTGAAATCCCATGAAATGCCTCCAGTGTTTTGTTGCTGATGTATGTCTTTTTTTGGTGGGTATGTTGCAAAACCATGGTGTTTTTCTTACCAAAAGGTACAATGTGAGGCCCCCCAGTTATAAGTTGGTTTATAAGCCCCAGTAACTATAGTTATAAGTACCATAAACCATACTTATTGGAGTTATAAACCAACTTAGTTATCTTGGGGGCCTCACATTGTAGCTAAACCATGCTGAAACTCATTGTTGGTGGACACCGCCGCAATGCGGATGAATTTTTTGATGGCAGCTGCGTTGCGCCAGTGTCACGCGACCCCATCAGTCAATCTGACATCATAAGACCATGGGGATCATTCTCTGAGGCTGGCTTTCATGGAATGCTATGGAATGTTGGATGCCGAATGTTAACACCATTGATTCTCTCATCAAATGTTATGCAATGTTCACCCGTTGGAAGCTGGTGCCCCCGGGCCTCCCATTGATGTAAGTTGGTTAATTTAACCATAGATCCTAGCTATGGGAGTTATGTTCACAACCGTTGGCAAGCTGTTGGAATGTACCCTTGGGAAGCTATCCATTCCCAGAATGGGCAAGGCATTCCTATAAGGTGCCCGGGACCCGACCAGAGACTCAGTCGAAGAGTCATCAAAAATTAGTGTTGTGGTTAATCGAAATCCTCACTTAAAGCCATACACAAAATTCAAATTATCCATGAGATTATACCATCTGGTTATTTAACATAGCCATGGAAAATCACCATTTTTAAGAACGGTAAACCATCTATTTCTATGGGCCATCTATACCATGGCGAACTGTTAGTCATAACCAAAGGGTAACCACTATTAACCACTATTAACCACTATTAGCCATGATTAACCAGATATTAACCTTTATGAACCATCATTAACCAGGCCGGGTCATGTTTTCTGAACGCCCAGCAGAGCGTCGTCGCCACTCACCCCATTTTTTTGTGTTCAGAATCCCCACGATAAAAATCATACGATCCCGGGTGGACCGCGGCGTGTCAATTGAATTCGGCCAGCTGGCTGTTCGGCCTGTGACAAATAACGTCACAAATTGTCGCCATGATTCATGAAATACCAGGTCTGTAAATAAACAGAAAAGCTATAGAATCATGGTCCAATCTATTTTTGAGTTTACATCCAATATTACTACTAATATTACTAATAATGTGAGAAGACATACCATATACAGAACAAAAAAACATCTGGTTGGTGGTCGACCTACTCCTCTGAAAAATATGAAAGTCAGTTGGGATGATGACATTCCCAATATATATATATATATATATTATATATATAATATATATATATATATATATAATATATATATATACATAGAAAAATAAAATTCATGTTCCAAACCACCAACCAGACATAGTATACCATAGTATCTTTTGAACTTCACCCATCGCAGGTGAGACCCTCTTGAGGCTGATTTGCTGCCAAGAAGAGTGGGGGGCGTTGCTTGAAGCCGTCAGCAGCTTCATTGAACAAGAGTTGATGAGTGAACCCAAGCTGCTTGGTGGTTTTAACCATCTTGAAAAATATTAGTCAGTTGGGAAGGATTATCCCATATATTATGGATTATTATGGAACATAACACATGTTTGAAACCACCAACCAGAAAAGATTTGATGAGTGAACAAAAGATTCTTCTGGATCTGACTCTCAACAAACCACCAACTGGTGTCATGCACAAACATCCAGCAAGCACTTGAGTATATGATCCTTTGTGGCTTTACCACGTCGTTCCATTCTTGTTTTCGCAGTGTCAAGAACCCCTTTGTGACGCCTAGACCTTGGTGAATTTCGGCTGGCGCCACAGCAAAAACCCAAACTATTCCCATGAGATTCCCAAGGACCCCTTAAAGGTAGATTGATCATTTAAACATGGGGGTACTTAATGGGATTCAATGGGAGTTTATGGTGACTTAATGGGATCTAATGGGAATTTACCCCCTGGTAAATTAACAGTTCGACCCTGAAAATCACCAACTTTTAGTTGAAACTAATCTTCCAACCCCGATGACTGCCAGGGTCTATGTTAATTTACTGGAGGGTAATCAATGAACACATGAAGACTGGTCGATTAAGAGCAGGATGAGAACAGTGTCACAAGCTGCGAATCACGCCTTCATCACCACCCCGGTAAAAACACTTTATCATACAATACCAAAAAAAACAAAACATGGAGTGTTAATGTTGATTGTTTCCATTTCCAACAAAAAACTTACAGTATCTTCCAATTGTTTTTTTGGGATTCATTTTTTTCTTGACATGTAAGCGTCATGATTCCAATACTTACCCCTCCGCTAATCCCCAAGACACCTAATGTCCACCTACAATAACCGTTCTCCTCCAGTAAATCAGTTCACCAAGGGATGTTGAATACACAGAAAAATGATCCCTAAAGTTTTGGAAAATCATTGTAGTTCCCATATTGGAGGGCAATAATTTTATGGTTTTGGCACTGCTAAGCTGAATTCCGCCAAACAATTTTCCATCATATGGCAAGCACAAGCTGCAGATTCATGAGCCCTGATCAACTGGACATTGCCGTTTTTGCTAGATAATTCTTCAAATGCAATCTAGCAACAACACAAACATTGAATAATGAACATTATCTAGCAATCATTGTACAATCAATGTGTGTGTGTTCAAATGCTCTTTGATTGAATGCTGGTTGGTAGTTTCAACCCCTCTGAAAAATATAAGTTCGTCAGTTGGGATGATGACATTCCCAATTAATATGGAAAGTCATTCAAAATTCCATGGTTCCAGTCACCACCAACCAGATAAAATTCATCTCAAAGCCACACCATTTTGACATCCAGCCACAACGGTTTCACGTCGACATACCAACATGTTTTTGGATCCAGATGGTAGATGTAACCAGCTCCAAAACATTCCAACTGCTTGGTGGACTTCGTCAGTTGGGATGATGACATTCCCACAGTTATGGTCATTTATCAGTTATAAGTACTTATAACCCCATTTATAGAATGTACAATCCCATTTATAACCAGTTATACTTGGTAAATGGCCATAACTGCAATATATGGAGGCTTTGAGATGTTTTAATGGGAAAATCATCCATATTAATTCTATATAATTCTGGTTGGTGGTTGACCTACCCCTCTGAAAAATATGAAAGTCAGTTGGGATTATAAATTATTATTCCCAACATATGGAAAAATAAAACATGTTCCAAACCACCAACCAGATAAACACTCATGCCATTGCAAACCTATCAAGGCTGTACCGCGGTGGTTGAAAAATCCAGGAGCCTTCAGAATGCAGCTGCCTATTCCATGAATTCAAAGGCGTGTTTCACACGCAAACCTAAAACTTGAACTTGGGGACCCCAAAGAATTCCCTAACTGCGTGGGAACAGATCTGGTTTTGGAAAGCTGTTTCTTCATTATTCATACTATGAAACTAATCACACGATGAAAATTATATTTGGAATGCCATCCGTGGGCCTGGTATCATGATACAACATGGATCACTTACAAAATTTTGCCGCATTTATTGATGTTACCCTCTGGTAATTTACCTTCTTATGGAAAATTGCCATTTATAGTGAGTTTTCCCATTAAACTTTGTGATTTTCCATTGCTATGTTAGTTTACCAGAGGGTATTTCTATTTTATTTATTGCTAGTGTTACGAAAGATGCTACTATTGGTATCATCTTATGATAATTCTTTTTTGGGGTCCCGGCCTTTCCTTTGGGCCTCAGTCGCGTCAACTCCTGCTGTCGAAAGTACGTCCCTGACTCACCATTGAACATCATGACCGTATTCCTGGCGCCATGTTCCGACGTCTTCTTAAGAAAACATGCAAGGTGGGTCAAGGAAACCCGGTTGGTTTGTAACACGGTGGAAACAAAAATATTAATAAATAAACCGACTAACATACAATTTCCCACCCAAAAAAAATGAAGTTCAACCAACAGAACAATATGCACTAAAATGAGGTATAGTGTATAGTGTCTCAATGATTTTGGTTTGCCACAGTATACAAGATACATCAAAATACCAACGTAAAGCGAGTCTATTGGAATCAATTTATCTTCGGCATGTAGGGTTCTGAATATATAATATGTGGAATACTTGATCACGTGTACCTGAGAGATTCCACATTAGGATATCATTTTCCATGGCATCTATATTATCCGTTTGGCATTTGCGTGACTATTGTTGTCATTCGCCGCTTCGTTCCCCAAAAATGTGCAAACAATGTGCAAGCCTGGGATGCTTTGGCCCCTTACCAAGAGGTTTCACGGCTCCAAGGTGAGGCTCCAAGGTTTTTGACTTATGAATTCCTTCTAAAGACACCAAAGACACCATGGTTAGGGAATGATGGTTAGGGATTTCCATAAATGATACCCCCAAATGGATGCTTTATTTCATGGAAAACTCTATTAAAATGGATGATAACTGGCAGTGTGTCAAAACCTTGTACCCCTGGTGAACATCAAAATAGCTGGTAAATGGATGTTCATCCCACTAAAAATGGTATTAATAGGTATTGATCCATACCCAACTAGCGGTACCCCCATGACGAATCGGAAACCTCCATGACTTTCACATCGGACCCATGACGCTGCTTGTTGGTCACCAACAAGCCCGGCTTGGTGCATCCCAGTCGGCCAGCTGGTGCAACATCATACCGGAACTAAGGATCTTCCACATCAGTAGTTTGATGCTAGTATACCCTCTGGTAATTTAAGTTACACTTTGCGAACTGGAAGATGGCCCATTGAAGTAGTTGATTTACCGAACTGAAAAATGGTGATTTTCCATAGTTATGTTAGTTTACCAGAGAGTATATGGGGCAATACGGAGAATAATGGGATGATACTGGGATATGAACAGACTTCCCCTCCGGTAATCAAAGATCGCAATGTCAAAATCCCCCAATAATATAGATGAATTTTCCCCAGCTGTAAACCTCAGTGAAGTTCGGGAACTGTCCAGCCAGCCACGTTTGACCTAAAAAATGGTTCTTACTCGCTTACCAACCTGGATGTACCCCCAAGTAATGGGCTTGTGGACCCAGATTATCCCAAGTATATCTCATTATATCACTGTAGTACCACCATTTGTGTTGGTTAAATCATATTAAATCCACATGTTTGATTGTCAAATCATGTTAGATGCCAGTTTTGTTGGTGAAAACTCCACCTCTTCCGTGATTTTTCAGCAAGCCTTGTAGATCCGTCGCTCATCGGTCTTTCCATCCGCGATCAGCCTTCCTGAGGGCTATCCCATATGGAAGCATACCACATTCTTACAGAAATCCGTATTACTATTTCTATTCTTATTAAATAGTGTTATGATGATTATTACTATCATCATTATATATTGTGATATATATATATATATATATATATATTATTATTATTATATATACTATAATATATATATATATATATATATATTATTATATATATATATTGTATATTATAGATATATAATAATATATTATATTATATATATATATATATTATATAATATATATATATTAAATATTGTATTATATACTTATATTATATGTATATTTATTATGTATATTTATTTACATAGATATTATATATGTATTTATGTATTGTGTATGTGGTATATAAATAAATATATATATTGTATATACATCATATATGATGGGATTGGATAGGAATTTGCAGTACTTGGAGTTGCTGATCTGGGAGCCATAAAAAATCCATCAACATGTATTCCCAGTGTTTCCCACCAATTTCAAATGCGGGAGAGACCCCATGTAAAAATAAGCATATTATTAATAAATCTTTAGCAAATCCAGGCAACTAACATACCCATCCGGTAAACTAACTTTGATATAGAAAATCCACCCATTGTAGATCATGCCCGAGGGAAAGCATGCATTTTCCACACGTACATTAGTTTACCTCAGGTAGATCCTGTCAAACATTATTTTATATACTGGTACTTAGAAAAAATCTGGGTTCATGTTAACTTTCTCTGGACATAGAAGTGAGGATGCAGGAGCAATACATGCAAGCAGTGCATTTAAACATTGAAGTGGTATGGCTATAGCCAACCGACACTGGAAATGTATACCGCGCGCAGCACGACCAATTCAGCAGTCTCCAAATGCTGGTCGGTGCCCAATGGTGCTCCCAAGATGGGTAAGTTGGTGTTTAGGATTTTTGGGATTTATTGGACTTATATATAACTATAGCTAAATGGAGGTTTCCTAAGTCATGGGGGTACCCCAAATCATCTAGTTCAAGAGGATTTTCCATTATACACAATCCATGTGGGGGTGACTCCATTTCAGGAAACATTAGGAAACCACCAGATGGGTTTATAAACCAAGTTTCAACTAGGGGTCCCTACCTTGACAACCCCTCAAATTTCGGGTTGTGTTTCCCACTTCCAGCCCAACGGGCTGCTGTCGGCAGTTTTCGCCGATCTCCACATGGTCCGTGAAACATTTTCCATAAACTATCCCTACAATGTGAGGCCCCCGTTCGATAGCTAAGTTGGTGCACATAACTCCAATAACTATGGTTTATGGCACTTATAACTATAGTTACTGGGGCTTATAAACCAACTTAGCTATCTTGGGGGCCCCACATTGTAGGTATCGCATCAAATACTTGGATTTGCTTAATGGGTCCCGTCCCAAAAAAAAATCTTCACTTCATCGATTCCCCAGACATGGTGGATTTTACTTGGATTTTACGGAAAATCAGCCAAATTATTCGACTAAACAAACCCAGGAATCTCGTAGAAAGCGTGTTTTTTTTTTTGAACGCAGACTCCGCTGCCAAGAGGCCATACTCATCCCAGACCGCTTGTCCCAACGGACGAACGCACAAATGCCCCATCTGCTGACACTGACGACATTCGTCGGGTTTATAGCTGTCACGGCCAAACTCGGACACGGCGAGGCGGGACGCGTTTTGAAATGTGAGGTTCTGAGGTTGTGAAAACCGCAGAATGCACGGTTTTAAGGGCTGATGTTGAAGATGTTGAAGTTCTTTAAGTCGTTTTTTTTTTACAAACTATAGATGATTGCGATCCGTGTTGACGTTTCCATGATATGTCCTTTTCATTCTCATCACGCGGGATTTCACAACGGATTTGATATCAGTTTATCAGCGAACCGGTCGACTGCCGGACGGATGGTCATAGAGATAGACTCCAAATCTGCTGAATACCATTGTGATTCATTACTTCTAAATACGGACATGATGATCATCTATCTATCATTGTTTTATCTCATTTTGGGGTACCATATTTTAGGACAAAACCAAACTAATTCCATCATGCAATACTCTCGCAGTCGAGTTATAATAGTTTTTTTTGAAGAAGGAAAAACTCTTTTCAGGGCCAACCTATGTTTGAGAACCTATCTACTTTGTTCATCTTTGTTCTATGTAAACATGAAACAAACCATTAAAAAAAAAAAAATATCTACCAAACCTAAGGGCCAACCTATTGTTTGAGAATCTACAGTATGTCTATCTATTGTTTTCTATATATATATATAGTAACCACCAAAAGGACACAAAAAGCAAAATCCCATTTAATTTTTGATAAATTGTGTTTCTATCTTTTTTGGGTACTACTGACTATGCAACCTGATTTTTGTTTGGCTTCCCCAGAAAACAACGAGTGCGGGATGCACCGCATAATAGGCTGCTCCAGGTTTCCAACGGTCTATGATAGACGTGTCACCAAGGTGGGAACCCCGTAAACACGAGAACGCTAAGTTGGTTTATTTCACTAGGTGAATTCTGAATGGTTCCTGGTCTATATATGTCTGTATTATACATATATATATATAGAGAGAGATATATAAATATAATTCATAAATCAACTTGTTGCTGGGCGGGCACCAACTTGTAGCCTCCCTGTAATTTGACACACCAAGATTTTTCGCATCGAGACTCAACGTTTGAAACCACGAAATCTAAGCCTCAATCCTTAGAGAAAAAAACATCCCCGATTGGGGTTTATTATGGGGAAAAAACACCTATGATTGGATGTAAAATGACCCCCAGTCATGGTGAATTGGATGGTTCATGGTGTGGATCCCACATTACTGATATATTGCAATTCACCTTTGCCCTGGGCGATCAGCGTCAAATTTCCCGATTGCTTCTCGCCAGGGTACATAGAGGAAATGATATCGGCAGGTCGGCTGATGATAGTGATTTCCTGCTTGGAGGCTTCATCTGGAAACATCGTCAACGTAGGGTGGAACATTCATAAAACCTAATCTGAAACCCACCAAATCACACTGTGGATGGAATAAATCCTGCACCACCAAGAGGATAGTTGAAACCCTATAAATAATAGGATGTTTACCACCTATCAATTGGTGCAGGATGTCGAAACCATCCACAGTATGTTTATTGAACGAAATAAGCCGTTGAGATGACGTCCACGATTAAGAATTATTCAAGGTGAGGTGGCTATCACTTACTCAGATGCTCATAGATTGCACAAAAAATCTCCTGTGTTGGTGAAATAACACAACTTTGCTATCATACATGAACTATTTATTCCCCTTGCTGTTGGCTGAATTCAAATCATTCAAATTGTACATCTGCTTCCATTTGTTGGATAACCAATAGTTGTCAAAAGAATGGTTCCATAACCTTCTGTATAAGCCCTTGGTCAATCATCACTAAATTATCCCTATTAAAATGGTCATGTAAGAATTATCCCGGCAAGAGACCCCAAACAGTGTGGGGGAGTGGGAGGATAATGTATGACAATGTTGTTGGTGATGATGATGATGCTGATGATGATGATGGTGATGAGGATGATAATGTGGCACAATGGTGCAGAGGATGATGATGTTGCGGACGATGATGTTGAGGATCATGATGTTGAGGATGATGAGGTGTTGAAAATGATGGTGTTGAGGATGATGATGTTGAGGAGGATGAGGATGAGAATGACAATGCGGAAGAGGAAGTGGAGGATGATAAGGTGGAGGATGATGCTGCTGAGACGGATGAGGATGAGGATGAGGATGGGGATGAGGATGAGGATTATGATGATGATGATGATGATGATGATGGTGATGATGATGATGATGATGATCATCATCATGATGATGATGATGATGATGATGATGACGATGATGCGGACGATGATGTTGAGGATGATGATGTTGAAGAGGATGATGAAAAGGACGATAACTTTGTGGAAGGTGAGGTGGAGGAGGAGGATGTTGCGGAAGATGAGGTGGAGGATGATGATGTTGAGGATGATGATGTGAAGGGGGAGGAAGGTGATGATGTTGAGAATGTGACATGTTGAGGATGATGATGTTGAGGAGGAGGACCGATCCCAAGACCTAGGACCACACTTTGTGCGAGCCTGCGCAGTCGAAATGCACTTCCACATTTCACAAGAGCCACTTTATACGGAAATTTACAGGTAAAAGGCTGCAGACCAGAGCGAGCACCCTGATCAAGCACCAGCCTTTACTCCTACCGTAGAACCCCTCAGTGTGGACACACTGTTTGGAGGAAAAAACATGTTCGGACACGCCCAAATGGATCACGGCCAGTTTATCACATTGCTGGAAAATCCCCGATGAAATCAAGGTTTCAATGGAAAAAATAATGGAAAATCCTCTATGAATAGTGGACTTTCCAGCTTGCCACGTTTACCATGGCTGTATGTTTAAACCACATACACCCATATAAATCTTCAGCTTTGGTATCTTTGGTAGTAGTTACCCTTTGGTAATTTCACAGTTTGCTATTGAACATGGTGATTTATAGTTGATTTACCCATTTAAAATGGTGATGTTCCATAGCTATGTTAGTTTACCAGAGGGTATCTCCCAGTAAATCCCATTAGATCCTATTATATAATTCCTATTAAGTCACCATAAAATCCGATTAAATCCCATTAAGTCATTGGGTATCCATTGTATCAGCAGTCCAAGGTACCATGCGCTTTGATGGCGGTGCGATCAGCATGACATGCGAAACAGAACTCGTGGCCGCAGTTGAAGCAAGTCTCGGCGTGGGACCCAGGAAGTGGTTTTCACGTGGTTTTCACATAGTCCACTTATCTTTTCTGGTTGGTGGTTTCAACCATCTTGAAAAATATGAAAGTCAATGGGAAGGATTGTCCAATATATTATGGAAAATAAAAAATGTTTGAAACCACCAACCAGTTTTGTTCGGATATTTCATATCAAGTAAGGGATAGTAAGGGGGTATTATATGGTTCTTAGCCAATTACTACCTGGAACGCCATAGATGCCTATTGCTTCAGGCTGCTTACACGTAGTAGTCAACTTGTTTGTGTCACTTTGCAATTCCCAGAAACAAAAAAGGCACTTCATCGTAACAGATCTGTAAGGTGCCATAAATACCCGCAGGGATCCTACTCATAAAATGGTCACTTTCCAATGCACTTTCCAGTGATTCTAGATCTAAGTCTAGTTGACGCTTTTACAATAGCAGTGTTTATTTAAATTCACAATTAGCAGCAAGTCGAAGATTGGGATCTGTTAAGGTAAACATGATACAGGATGCTGCCCCGAAGTTATAAGTTGGTTTATAAACCCCATTCACTATATATAGTTATATCTACCATAAACCATAGAATTCAGCCATAGTTATAAGTTGGTTTATAAACCCCATTCACTATATATAGTTATAAACCATAAACCATTCACTATATCCACCATAAACCATAGAATTCAGCCACTTTTGTGTTCGGCAACTGAACGCGAGCTCGAACGGGGGCCCCATCCTGTGTCATCCAATTCTGTCGTTGGGTTCCCCCAGAAGATAGAAACATGTGGCCCGAGGCCCGAGGATGCGAACTCTCTTAGGTTTCCAACTGTTCCATCGATTTTGTGGCTGCCATAGAATGGTTGTTCAGTGAATCTACCAAGCAATGGACAAAGGCATCTATAGGCCTATAGGATCCTATAGGTGCAAAGTGAAGAAAGACCTCGTTGGCTTTCTTTCACCCTGCTTGCCTCAACATTTCTGGAGGAATCAAAATGGTACGGCGATGTCATATTTCCCCTGCAAAATCATAAGATCCTAGTCAGACATAAGATTATAGACCACAGTCATTCAGTACTAAGTTGATTGCAAGACCAAGTCTGCATCATTTGGCTAGAAACAAAAACCCTAAAATCTCCTCTTTTCACTGCAAAATAGCCAAGGCAAATGGATGCTCAAGCTCCCAAAATGTGGTATCTGGGGTATTGGTTCAAATTATCCTTGAAATTGGAGTCATTGGTTTACCTTCTGGAAATCAAACGTGGCCATTGAAAAAACCCAATGATCGATGATTTTCCCAGCTAACCTCCAGACTCCATTTAGGGGGATTCTCGGATGCTTGATTGGTTTAATAAAGGTTTAATTATCCCCATGATATACCCAGCTAACACTCAGAAATCGCAAAGCATTGCCAATCTTAGATACCCTGCAACAAATTAAATTCTTTACTGGTTGGCAGATATTCCCATTGATACCAAAAGACTAAAGGATTAAAGTATCCATGTAAGATTGACCTAGAAAGGACCAATTCTGTAGGTCCAAGTGCCACTTTTATCCCATCCTGGGTCCCTTGGAGGCTTTGACCGTGACCCTTCCAAGAGCCAGGCCATATGGTCACACTGATCATCATCCTCTTTCATGATGCCTGGCGAAGCGAAACACTGGACCTCAGAAAAGCCTTTAAAAAGTTCCGTGGTGCTGGGTTAATCTGAGATTCTTAAGCATCAAAAACTGGTTGGTGGTTGAGCTACCCGAAATATATGGTGATTGTATGGTTTAATATGGTGCAAAATCCCATTGATGATCATAGTTACTTATAATCTTATATAGCTGGTTGGTGGTTGACCTACCCCTCTGAAAAATGATGGACTGAAAGTCAGTTGGGATTATGACATTCCCATGGAAAGTCAAAAAAAATCATGTTCCAAACCACCAACCAGAAAAGATATTTTCAGCAAGGAAATATGGGGAATCTAGCATCTGGGGTAAGACTTGTTGAAGGCTCTTTCAACACAGCTTGACACTGGTTGGTGGTTTCAACCATCTTGAAAAATATTAGTCAATGGGAAGGATTATCCCATATATTATGGAAAATAAAAAATGTTCCAAACCACCAACCAGCGACATGTACGAACGCGTTACTTTTGTTGCACGCAGTCCAAGATTGGTCATGGTTCTTTTTCAGGCGTGTATACTAACCATGGCCATCAATCTGGCTGAATTGTCTTCACCGATTGTGGGAATGGAGAAAACTGAACAAGATCAATTTTGGTAGTTGGTAGTTCATCATTTCACAACTTGCGACATTTCATAAATTTATATAAGTACGAAACTGGATTCCTAAAATCCGAATCATCATTCACGGTGAGCTCAGTGAGGTCGCTATGATTTGCGTGATCACAGACTGGCAGTTAACCATATCAATCCTCTTCGAATCCACTTATACATACCTCGTATGTACTGTATATGTTTGGAATAACCCTTAGTTTCATAGGTATACACATATACACACAATGTTGGTAAAGCAATAGTAAACGGCCCCAAAAATCACTAGAAATGGATGCTATAAACTATCAACATATGGACGGTTTATTATTGCTGTACTAACACTAAATGGTTTGTCATATGGGGGGTCCTGCCATTTATAGATGAATTTCCAATAAAGCCTCCATTTATAGATGTTTTTCAATCTATGGTGGATTTTCCCAAGAAAACAAATGCTTTAGTTTCATAAGGGCTATATATGGGTACCTTAGGGTAAACTAACATAGATGTGGAAAATCAACCATTTCTAGATAAGTTTCCTAGGGTTTCCCCATGGGTGTTCCACATCTACGTAAACGTGTACCCTAGGATATCAATATGATATAGAATATCTAAATGTTTCCTGTATCACGACTTTTTTTAAGATGGTAAAAAAAAGAAAATTGCATATCTGTGAAGGATCTCTGAATTTTCTATCAAAGCACTTCGGATTAAAAAAACGCGCCGCAACGCGCCTTGCAAACACGTGGGGCACACCGTGATGAATTCTTCATTGGGATCTTTCAACTCCTGCAAAGCCGATTCGTGGATGAAAATGTGAAAGCAACAGTGAACTAGCAGTGAACTGTTAAGTAACATGTACCATCTGGTTATGACTAACAGTTTGCCATGGAAAATCACCATTTTTAATAGGTAAACCTCTATAAATGGGCAATTTTCCATGGCTATGTTAAATAACCAGAGGGTATGAATTATCTGTTAGTGAATGCACGTTAAGACTCTTATTTTTTTAAAATATAAACAAATACATATGAGTATTAGAATCTTGGACAAATCCAAGTTGGGAATGTCTGAAACAGTGAAGATATGAGTTCAGAATGTTATCTTTCTAGTATTTTGTGATATAATATGAAACTGTACACTATTAGTATGAGTTCACTACAGTGAATGAAACTGTTGGATAAATATGAGTCTTAGAATGTAATCTTAGGAACATCCTTGTTAGGAATATATTGAAATCACCGTTTTGTATCAATTGATTGTCCCCAGTTAAACATGTATTACCCAATATTGAGATATATTGAGTACATAGATACATGTGATGACCAGAAAAGATGGGAACAAGAAAGAATGTGGCCAAAAATGTTGTGTAAGCAGCAAATGTGAAAAATCATCCACGAAAATTTAGGAATCGGTACCCCCAAATAGACCAACATTGATCAACATACTATTAAAGTATATAAGTTACGAGCCATAACCATACACTAATAATGACAATATGCTAATAATGAACATAGACTATCGTCATAGTATTGTCCTTGACCCCAAAAAATGGCTATATAAAAGTATGAAATGATCAGGCAATCTTGGCAAATGGCTTCAGATTTGCTGGCAAATTGGCAATTCCCAAGCTGAAGCAGCAAAAGTTCCAACTGGTGGTTTCAACCCATCCAAAAATATTTTGAAAAAAAAACGCAATGAACAACTGGTGTTTTTTTGTTTTCAACCCATCCACTGATGTTTTTAAAACTGATGGGTTGAACCATCATCAATCTGGGTAAATTATAATATTTCACTAACCTGAATAGTTCGGCCATAAAAGGGGATGATTTCCCTAAAATAAACCATGATAAACCAGGCTTCGGGAGAACAGGGTTCGGTCGTGATTAAATTTACCCAGATATATGGTTGATTGTCGATTATTGGTGGCCAAAAAAAATGTTCCATCAAAAACTACCATTTATCCCAGTCCGTATGGTTGATGGAACCACTTTCTGAGAAGGTACTATATATAACCCTCTGGTAATGTCAAAATAGCTATTGAAAATCACCATTTTCAATGGGTAAATCAACTATTTCTATGGCCATTTTCAATAGCTTTTTGTATGGAAAATCACCATTTTATAGTTGATTTACCTATTAATAGCATGGTGGATCTTTCCAGTTCGCTATGTAAACGTTTACCAGAGGGTAAGCCTCAATCAGAATATACGATCCCAGGGTCTCATCTGAATGCCCCATTTCTGGCGGCCACGGTGCCACGGCCGGCGGAGCCAAGGGGCCCCGCTTGGGTCGCCGTATGACAATCCGGAGCTTGCGAAAAGTGTTGGGGTGGTAGATAACTCGAGTTGTTTTTATCGCGATTTTTTTAAAATCCAACAAAGCTGTTGGGGGCACCAGCTTGGTTACCCTGTAAGTGGGTAAATGGTGTAGCGGCAGATATATGATATATGGGGTTATTTAGTATATTAAATCTTGTATGACTGTGAGTGAAAAACCCTCATTATAACCCTTCCACACCAAAATTGCTGGTCTTCATGGATGTTCATTCCCCCACCGTTGTGGCCCAACCAACTCTTATATTATAAATGGAATGAAATAACTCCTATAACTAAGGTTATATATCATTATAAACCCATTTACAACTGCTAAGGGCCATAAGGGCCATAAGGGCCATAAGGGCCATAAGGGCCATAAGGGCCAAAAGGGCCATAAGGGTCATAAGGGCGGCCATGACTGTATGGTATTTCATAGGTGACACAGTTATGGCCATTTATCAGTTATTTATCAGTTATAAGTACTTATAACCCCATTTATAGAATGTATAATCCCATTTATAACCAGTTATACTTGGTAAATGGCCATAACTGTAGGTAAATCCATCCCCAGAGCGACACTGCCACTGCCGTCCTTGCCCACTCGCGCACGTGCTTTGAGATATTCCCCGAAGTGTCCCTGCGTCAGGAGGCCGGTGTTGAAAGCCCGACACACATACAATGTGAGGTTCCCGGCCACGAGAACGCTAAGTTGGGTCCTACATAACTCCAATTTCACTATGGTTTATGGTACTTATAACGAACTAGTTACTGGGGCGAATCTAAACCAACTTATAACTGGGGGCATCACATTGTACGAAAGCTAATTGGGTTTTATATGCAACTATGTCAAAACGGGAAACATCGGGAAACACTACCGCAGCTGTTTGTTAATTCTCTGCTACCAAAGCCCTGTACCAGGTGTTTCTATGGTTATCTATAGTTATAAAGGTGGTTATCATTCATTATCATTCCATAAATGGGGTTATAACTGACTTACAACTGGTAAAGGGCCATAAGTGTGCTAGAAGTTTAACTCTCCGGGGGAAAAACTTTGTGGTACATCCATTCAAGACCGCATAAAACAATAAAACATATATCAGTAAATTGCTACAATCCATCCAGCAAAGACATCCTCAAAGTGGATCTAACCCTCCTCACCCCCTTCAGCTGAGTCGCTTGTAGCAGTTCAGCTCCAGCTTTCACAAAGTTACAGCTGTGCTTTGAACCAACGATGTAGAGACCTGAGGCGGGAATTGAAGATCTCAGGCCACTTCCACCAGACATGTTGATTTGACCAAGAATCTTATGACCGGGCACCCACAAGATAGCTAAGTTGGTTAATTTGTGCAGGTTTACCATTGTTTATTGATGTTTATTGTAGATCTATCTATAGATAATGGCGTGAAAATCAACTTATCACAGGGGGCACCACTTTGTAGCGATTTTGTCGGCGACAAACTCGTGCAAGCCTCCGAGGCCCGAACGGGAACCGCTTCAATCATCTCAATTGGATCCAGGTTTGGGCCCTGACTACCCAATTCCAATTTTCAACTTGTCTGCAGTTATGGCCATTTACCAAGTATAACTGGTTATAAATGGGATTATACATTCTATAAATGGGGTTATAAGTACTTATAACTGATAAATGGCCATAACTGTGTGTATTCTTGAATCAATGGATTGGTTTAGTCGGGAAAATTGAGGCCGGCAACCAAGGAATTTTCCATGAAATATGGGGCTTTCTTGTAGAATTTCCCGACTAAACCAATCCATTGAATCAATATCAACCATCATTAACCACAAAAAAAACACTATTCACCACTATTAACCACTATTAACCACTATCCTACAGTATGGTTGATCAGGATTTCCGTCTTTTCTGGATCACTTCACCTTGAGAGGACGAATTGAACATATTCCACATTCCTGGCGGAGCTCAGTTCTGGTAGATGAAAATCAGGCAAAACATATCGCTTGAAGTGTGAAAAATGGGTAAACAAAAAACAAATCATAGCCTAATCATCAAGTGTTAACAACTAAGATTGCCATTTGAGGGTATACACCATTTTCAAACTAACCAACAATAGCACACCACCCATATAAATTGATGGTTGAAAAACCACCCCTCCATGATAAATCTGGGGATGGTGGAGCCCATTGCTTTACTAACATTACATCCCATTCAATCCCCGTAATAATTGGATATGTTTCATAGTTTGACTTATAATCCCAATTTTACTCCGTTGGTAAATATCCAATAAACTCCAACAATGCTTGGTTTAAGTTCATGCCAACAAAGAAAAACATCTCTAAATTGAACGGAAGTTCCCGCGCGGCCAAGGTACCCTTGCACTTTTCACCTTGTCGGCTCTGGGGTGTCCATGAGGCGAAGCTAGGAACTCAGTGGGAATATCAACTTATATCTGGTTGGTGGTTTGAACCCCTCTGAAAAATATGAAAGTCAGTTGGGATGATTATTCCCAATATATGGAAAAATAGAAAATTGTTCCAAACCACCAACCAGTATATAATATTATATAATACTTAATGTCAACCCTGAATTAATAAGCCCCAAACGGCTCTTTAATTGGGGGGGTACCATTTAAGTATCAGATTATGACTATTGGGGAAGTACCGGGGTTGAGATTATATAACATTTATATTTCTAATAAGTATACATGAGGAACAACCAAAAAAACGAGCAAGGTCTAAGAATTATCGTTATTTCCATGCTATTTCAGTAGGATCTGACCGTGTTTGTGGCGCTTCTCTTGCGCCGACTGATAGGTCTGATGCTAGCCTTCCAGATCTCGGGGCTCAGATGAGGCTTAAACATAGGGATATATGATGTACAATGTGCCCCCCCCCAGTTATAAGTTGGTTTAGATTCGCCCCAGTAACTAATTCGTTATAAGTAGCATAAACCATAGTTATTGGAGTTATGTTCACCAACTTAGCTATCCAACGGGTGCCTCACATTGTAGGGATATGATATATGATGTACCCTCCTTTTTTAATTAACATGGGACCACCATGTGTAGATCTTTTTTTGTCCAGGGTTTTTCCATGGATTTTCTATGTATCCTATGAGGGTTTTATCGAATTCACAGGCTCCAAGGGTGAATCCACAATTCACATGCTACAAATTCTCTGGTTTTTATCGTTGGTAAATCTGCCATAAACCATACCTAAAATAACCAGCAAAGTGCATGGTATGAACCATCCCAAAGTGAAAACGCTTTATTCAGCTGCTACTTCGGCGTATGCCCTGAAAGCACAGAAAGGGGCACCCGGAAAAACCACTGGTTCATGAAAGACTGCAAAGTTGGTTCATGTCACTCGGCTACCTAGGCTTTATGATGTATATATATATATATTATATCTATATATTATTACATATATATATATATATACATATACATATACATATTATATTATAATATATATATAATATATATATATACCTTCTGATAATCAAAAATGTCCACAGGAAATCCATGGCAGAGGTTTTTGGATTTTCCATCGACCGATGGGCTGGGCGTGCCGTGCCAAGGTACAGCGTCTGCCGCATTTGGGACACTTGTAATGCGTCGCTCCTTCCTGGTGGACAGGCACCACATGGAGCTGTTGAAAATGCCAAGTTATTGTTGTAGATCTCATATGGCTAGTTATAGATCTACTTCAAGGAAAGTTCTTATATTTTTTTGCTTGTTTTGTTTGTTTAAGCGTTTGATTATTTGATCATGAAGTTGATATGTTTTTATTGTCAATCTTTGGTCCACATCAAATTCTCTGCTGGCTATCCAAAGGACAGGATGGACAACCATTTTTTGGCCGCGTTTCGCGTCCTGGACGTGCAAGAAATGAGGCCATTTCAAAAGCAACCATCTATTCTGGTTGGTGGTTTTAACCATCTTGAAAAATATTAGTCAATGGGAAGGATTATCCCATATATTATGGAAAATAAAAAATGTTTGAAACCACCAACCAGATCTATTTGTCTGGCATTACCATCATAGCTGGTTGAATTCAAAAACACGAATCTTAACGGTAACAAAACATGCTACACATTCAACCCTGAAAACCATTCTAGATAAACTATGCGAAGTCAGCACTCAACAAAAATGCTATTTTGTGATACATGATTCCCTCAATCCTAGCCATCATTTACGTTGTGAGTTTGGCCAGTAAAATCGTTATGATTCACTCAGAATTATTGCTCAATTAGGTGAATCAAGGCAATTCCCCCACTATTTGATGATTGGGAACACCCTTCTCCCCATGAAATCTGCCGATATTATTATGGGTATCCCGATTTTCAGCACTCCCATGTTGATACCAAAATGGCTTGCCCAGGACAAAAAAACAGCGTTCAAAACCTTGTGTCGTCACTTTATACGTTGGTTGAGAAAGGGATTCCCCCTTTATGGATCGTGATAAGTGGAAATCCCAAGAAAATCTCAATGTATTATTGATGAGTGGCCCGAACTCGTCGACCAGGGTTTTGTCCATCAGAATTTTGGCCACGAAAAAAACGCCGAGCGCCTCCTTTGTAGCGTTGCTGTTGCCGCAGCGCACACAGGTGGTCTGGATCAATTTCCTCGACAGCTGTGACTACCGGAAGAGACCTGATGTGTAGCTTTTTTTTTGGGCCAAAGCATATGGATCTGACAAACATCTGGGTTTCATCAACACAATGTGATCTTTTGGAAAAAACAACATGCGGGTCTTACCAGAAACAAATCGGACAAACAGCAACAGGTGCGCTCCTGGCCTTTTTCTGGGCTTGCCTGGTTTCCAGGGTACCCTTCAATCCAATGTTGTGTTCATGCTTCAACTGGCCATGGGGGTAGCCTCAATCTAAACCCATTAAGTCCACTGGACCCAAAGATTGCAGTATGGTAATGTACAGTACATATCCCCCCATCGAACAGCCTGCTCTAGAAAATATAGATTCTGCATCCAGTTGACTACTGAAACTTGGGTGTACCCATTCTTTCTTTTATCAACCAGTTGGAAAAGAACATCTACTACAATGTGAGGCCCCCAGTTATAAGTTGGTTTATAAGCCCCAGTAACTATAGTTATAAGTACCATAAACATCCATAAACCATAGTTATTGGAGTTATGTGCACCAACTTAGCTATCCAACGGGGGCCTCACATTGTAGGCCATTCAAAATACAATTGGCCTTTGTTCTCCCTAGCTGGAGAATGCTGCAGCCTGAAAAAAATTGCACTTTCCACAGTATCTCCCCGGCTTGCCACCCGGGACCCCTCGTCCCAATGTCGGCAACCAATGTCGGATGGGTAACTGGATGTCATCATCCCACAATAACCATGGGTTTTTCACCGCATCGCAGATACCCTCTGGTAAACTAACATAACTATGGAAAATCACCATTTTTCATGGGAAAATCCACTATAAATGGTGATTTTCCATAGTTATGTTAGTTTACCAGAGGGCATATTCATCGATTCAAAGATATTCAAAGTACTTCACTGATCGGGTGGTGTTTTAACCATCTTGAAAAATATGAGTTCGTCAGTTGTGAGTATTGTTCCCAATATATATATATATATATGGAAAAATAAACAAGTTCCAAAGCACCAATCAGCATTCAGTCGCTTTCCGTATTTTTTCAGATTCATCCTTCATCCCCATGTTGGTTAAATCCCTGCTGCTGACTCCCACCATGCTCAAACTTACGACAACTCACATCCATTACAGTATATGTACAATGTGAGGCCCCCCAGTTTATAAGTTGGTTTAGATTCGCCCCAGCAACTATAGTTATAAGTACCATAAACCATAGTTATTGGAGTTATGTTCGCCAACTTAGCTATCCAACGGGGGCCTCACATTGTATACACACTGGAAACTAACAACGAACATTCCTGGAAACCATGGAAAAGCATGTTTTGGAGATGATATAAGCAACAGTATATCTCCCATGTCCCCATCATATTCCCATCAGCTCTCATTCTGAAGCGTTCTATCAGGCAGCCTCGCGCTTAGCTCGCTCTTAGCTGCCGCTAAGTGGCGGCTTCGGTGGCTCTGGAGGATCTGAGTCAGACATAGTCAGAGAGGTGCGTAATCCCAGAATCGCCGAATCTTGAATCAAATGGGAATATGTGTACAATGTGAGGCCCCCGTTGGAGAACGCAAAGTTGGGGCCTACATAACTCCAATAAGTATGGTTTATGGTACTTATCACTATAGTTACTGGGGCTTATAAACCAACTTATAACTGGGGGGCATCACATTGTAGATAATGATTATGAAAAAGCCACCAGTATAATCATCACCAAGTTCTAATATTCGTATAATCCACAATATTCATATAATGATGATCATTCTTATAATCCACATTATCAACTTGGGAATGATCATAATGATGATCATAATGGTGGCTGTAATGATCATTATCAGGTTGACTATACTTGGAACAAGACATTGGCATCTGATCAACAAACATGATGATGCAACCTCTACGTCAAATGCTTATTTGTTGTTGGATCATTCTCAGTATAGTAAACTATGTGCAGAGCTTAATTTGTTGGATAAATCACCATTGTTATTGAATCCAATGTTTGCTTCTGAAGACGGTTGCCTGAATTATAGTCGCCCATCTATGACAGATTGTTTCAGACATTTTCAGACTGATAAAACCACGAAATGACCGAACTATGTTTCATGGGTCTACCAAATACATTACAATTAAACAAATCATAAACCAAATTTGCTAAGGCCATAAAAGTGATGACTCCGGCTTGGTCGAATCACAATTTAGGGTTTGATCGGCAATGAATTGATTTCTCTGCAAATCATTCAGATACAAGCCGCACAAGTATTAAATAGATGTTGTCCATTCTTGTCCACTTGCAAAGGGCTTGCACATTTTTTACCTGGTGCTTTCAACAAGAACCTGTCACTGGAGAAATGGGTCAAACCTAGGGTTCTGCTCCAGTTGGTTAATTGATCTCTGGATGGCTGTCATATATCTGTATATCCATACCCTAATATCCTTTATGTATATATATATATACATATGTATTAGAACACAGATATGTATATATATATATAATTACTTATATATATATTCTATATATTACTGTATATATATGTAAGTACTTATATATATATACTGTTCATACATCTAAACACATATCAAAAAAATATGGGCAAAGTACAAATATTGTAGGTGTCCAACTTGAAATCAACCACGGCAATGAGGGAGTCTTGTTTTGAATTCCAGATTTTTTCTTGCATGGACGTTGGTCAAAATTGATCGCCGGTGGGTACCAGAATCGGGTGGTTTGTGCTAAACAAAGAAATCCAAACCATTGCCAATCTTAGATACCCTGCAACAAATTAAATTCTTTACTGTAGATATTCCCATTGATACCAAAAAACTAAAGGATTAAAGTATCCATGTAAGATTGACCTAGAAACAATGTGATTCTTTGGGTCTGAAGTTTGGATTCTTAGTGTTGGACATTATAACTGTAACTCTCCCTTTGTTAGTTTGCACATGGACTGACCCCTACCCAAATTGCAGTGGCACATGGACACGCGATTACACGCGATTTACAAAAAAATATATATATAATTTGTTGGATGTGGGGTAGGTACCATTCCCAAACAACTTTAATTATCCCATTACCAATCTTACCATAATTTTAGTCTGCAGGTCACATGCCCAAAAAAAAGTGGGTAAAAGTTTAGAATCATCAAACCCCGAAATCTGATGCATGGTTTTCCATGTGAAAACCATGTGATTAAAAACAGTCTGTTCATGATAAACCACTGTTTTTCCATATGTTTTATCCCAGTTTTTCATTAACTAATGGTAAATAACCTTCATTTTTCCATAGGTTTTTGCTCCCGGCCTGCTTCGCCCCTCACCAACTTCAGGCAGTCGTCAAAGAAAAGCTCAGGATCCTGAGTTTTACCGGGTAACCCGGGGGGTCCCCAGAATCCCCAGAAGTCACGAACGAGATGGGCATGGGGATTTTTTTCGGGTTATCTTACTGGTGCTAAACGTAGGGAATGGGGGAATGATCCATAATAACTGGTTGGTGGTTGATTTTCTTCCCTACCCCTCTAAAAAATGATGGAGTGAAAGTCAGTTGGGATGATGACATTCCCAATATATGGAAAGTCATATAATTCATGTTCCAAACCACCAACCACATTAATAACCATCCCGTTCCTCCATTTTCTAAGCACCAGTAAGTTGTACACTCTGGTAACATACAAAAAGCGAACTGGGAAATCACCATTTGGAATAGGTCAATCAATTGCTAATGATGGTTAATCATGGATATTAACCAACAATGGTTTATGGTTTATGATGGTTTATGGTACGCAAATAACGAACTAGTTACTGGGGTGAATCTAAACCAACTTATAACTGGGGGGCCTCACATTGTACAAGGTGGTACCCCCAAACGTTATGTGCGTTGGTTTATAATCCCCATTAACTAGTTCGATATAACCTCCAGATTCAGCCTAGGACCCTATAGGACCATAGGACTTATAAACGCACCAACTTTGCTAACTATGGGGCACCACCTTGTAATTAGTGAAAGACAGGGACTAACCCGACTTACCCTAGTCTTGTAATTGGGCGTATTGCCACCAACTGGGGTGAGCTACCAAGCAGGGCTAGAGAGAAGATGGCACAGCCTGGCGCATTATGAGGAGATGGACAACCTCCATGGGCCAAAAAAAAAACAGCAAGAACTGCATCCGAAATCTGCGTTGTCTCACCGCCGTGGTCATGACATAGTGGGCACATAAACCAAACTGCCTTATGACTACTTGTTTTTTGTATGATGGGACTCACCCCATTTCATTTGAACATGATTGAACTAATTAATAGCATCATAAACTCTCACTCATCACTTTAAAAAAAAGTTTCCAAATATAAATAGGCACTGGCCAGACTCCACTCTCATGCAAGGAAAACAAACCGTCAAGCACAAGTTCTTACCATGGTTGAATCATGGCACTGTGTTTCCATCTGTCATTCATATCCCGACAAATGGCATTCACTAAGAAGTGATGTGCTGGTTGGTGGTAGACCTACCCCTCTGAAAAATGATGGAGTGAAAGTCAGTTGGGATGATGACATTCCCAATATATGGAAAAATAAAAAAATGTTCCAAACCACCAACCAGTTTAGATATTTTTAGGATTTCTTTTATATTATCCCATATATTATGGAAAAGTAAAATTCATGTTCCAAAGCACCAAGCAGATATAAGTTGATCATCCCAATCCTCCATTGACGAAGCGCCAGTAAGTTATACATTCCATGTACCATTTTTTTGATATTTTAATATGTTTAATCTCCAATTAATATTGGGAAAATGGAATGTATAACTTCAATGCCAAATGTGGATAAACCATTCCATTTACCAATTAAAATATCCAAATTGGTAAATTTGTATAATCCCCTGCTCACATGCCAACGATCAAACCAGGGCCAGCTCGCCGAGTTTCTGCTTCTTCCAATTCCTGCAGATCCGATGGCCGTTGAGTCCCACAAAGGGGAAATGAGACTCCAGGATGGTGCCCCCCAGTTTTGTTTGTTGGTTTAGTTTCACTCCATCAACTAGTTCGCTATATCCACCAAAAATATCCATAAACGATAAACGATCGAAGTCAGCCACAAACATAAGGCAACTGAACGTTATCGAACGGGCACCCCATCCTGTACCACACAAAGGGAAGAACATCCAAATTCAGGTCAACGTATCAATATATATATACACATATATAGGTAATTCTGCAAATACCTGGAATGTCGAAGTGGACCATGAAAAAATTGGTACAGTTGTGTATTATTATCCAATGAGAAAAGGACAAATTCAAGGTTTTCCCCCTATCTAGTAGCTAAATTGATTTGTTTCACAAGGTCTACAAGTGGGTCTATAGCAAATCCATCGAACTAGCCAATGGGGTGAAACTAAAGCAACAGTTAAATCACCTGAAGGCATTAGATCCCAGCAGAAACCCCAGCAGTTCAGGCAGAAACCCAAACGAAAACCTCATCAAACAATATATGTCCAAGGCTATATATCCCCCATTGGGCCCATTGAGTAGAACAAAATATCACCGTAACATGAAGTTGAGATATGAATACAGCTGTATTCATGCGCTTACTACACAATGTACAGGCAGAGGCCAAACACACAAGCTATAGCACACAGGGCCAGGAAGTCTCTGGGAAAGCCTAGAGCAAATGTGAAAAAACGGCAGCCGAACTGAAACCCGAGTGGAACCCCTCAAAATAGATGGGGTAACACAGCCAGCGACTCCAGCACAGCTAAAATGTTTAAAAATAGGTCCCCCATCCACCACACATTTGTGAACAAAAATGATTTAGATTATAGACTCTCTATGTGAGCAATTTAAGTACCCATGTTTGATTGGCTATTTTCGGAGGTGGTACTACTGTGGATGGTTGCGGAGTCCTGCACCACTTGGTAACTATTAGGTACAGTAACATACTTCAACACTTTTTCAGCAATCTTATAAGATTAATCTGGGTAAAACAATGCCATAAACCATCCCCCAAAATGGTGCAGGGTGGTGCCCCATAGTTAGCTAAGTTGGTTTATAAGTCCAATAACTATGGTTTATAGGTGATCTATCTATCGTTAATGGGATTATAACCCATTTATAACTGGGGGAGGCACCACCTTGTGGTATAAACCATTCTCAAATGGCTAGTTTATGGCATTGTTTTACCCCCATTAGATTAGATTACCCAGTAAATCCCATTAGATCCTATGAACATGTCTATTGAGTCACCATAAAATCCCATTAGATCCCATCACCTTGGATTTTACCGGGCCCCGGTCCACTTCCAGCTCATCAATGCGCCGCAGCCGCTCGGGCCCTGCACGTTTTCGACCTGGGATTTCTGGGACCCTTCAGACCCAGGAAGTGGGCAAGAACCATAGGCATCCATAGGCCTTTTACTATATATATATATATATATAGTAGGTATATATATATATATATATTTATATAGTATATATATGTATCGTATATATATATATATAGTTTATATATAGTATATATAGTATATATATAGTATATATATAGTATATATATATACTATATATATATGTATCGTATATATATATATAGTTTATATATAGTATATATATATAGTATATATATATAGTATATATATAGTATATATATATATGTATCGTATATATATAGTTTATATATAGTATATATATAGTATATATATAGTATATATATATATATATATCGTATATATATATAGTTTATATAGTACATATATATAGTGTATAGATATATAAATATAGTATATATATATATATGTATTGTATATATATATAGTATATATATATATATAGAGTATGTATATATATATATATGTGTATCGTATATATTATATATATAGTATATATATAGTATATATATATATGTATCGTATATATATACATATGTGTGTGTCGTGTATATATATATAGTATAGGTATATGTAGTATGTATATATATATTGTATATATATAGTAGACATAGATATAGTGTATATAGTGTATATATATAGTATATGTATACACTATATAAATATATCGTGTATATATATATATCGTATAAATATATTATATAGTATATATATAGTTTATATATAGGTATCGTGTATATATATATAGAACATAAATAGATATAGTATAAATATATATATATAAATATATGAATTATATATGTATATAACTATGGAATATCCGAAAAAAAAAAGACGAGTATCCCAGTCGTATATGACTTATTTCTATATATCAAGATTCCAGGGATGCACATCTCCAATCCCCCCCCATTCCTGAGCAAATCCATGGCAACCCTCCGAAAAACACCGAAAAACATCGGGGAAACTCGGAAACCATTAGTCCGGGTAAATTATAATAATTCACTAACCTGAATTAGGGCCATTTGGGGATCATTCCCCTTATTAACCATGATTTCCAGTGAGGTCGCAGTGAGGTCGTGATTAAATTTACCCAGATTAGTAGTTTTGCGTACCAGTTCTTGTGGGCGTTTACCTTAGGAATTGGGATGATTCATTGAAATCATTGGGATGATCTCCACTTGGTAGTTTTGTGTACCACTTACCTTCAATAAAATGTGGAATAAATTGATGATTCTGCAGAACGTGGTACAACAACAATGGTTTCTACCCTCTCGCAATTTAACATAGCCATTAAAAATACACCATTTATAGTTGATCTACCTATTCAAAATGGTGATTTTCTACAGCTGTGTTAGTTTACCAGAGGTAACCTGCTTGCGATTCCATGAATGGTCAAATATATATATATATATACATACATATATTTCAGTCACCTGCTGCATCAATCACTGGTCAGACGATGAGATCTTTACCATGAATTTTCCAGCAAACATGGATCCAGAATGTATGTATATATATATATATTTATGTATACTGTATATGTACATATGTATATACTGTATGTATATATATATATGTATACTGTATATGTACATATGTATATACTGTATGTATATATATATATATATATATTATATTATATGTATATATCACCGTTGTCATACCTATTCATCTTTCCCATGTTTGGATCAACTGACACAGAATCCGCCAAGGTACAGGCATAGCCCTGCGCTTGAAACTCCACTGTGACCCTCGTCGAAGGGGCGCTGCCGCTTGCTGGGTGTGAGTCCACTACCTGCGGGGTGAAAAAGCTTTTACTAACCATCAACAACCAATGACTTACTGGAATTTAATGGGATTTTACGGTGACTTAATGGGATTTTATGGTGACTTAATGAGATTTTATGGGATTTTATGGTGACTTAATGGGATTTAATGGGATTTTATGGTGACTTAATAGGAATTAATAGGATCTAAATGGATTTACTAGGAGATACCCTCTGGTAAACGGTTACATAACTATGGAAAATCACATTTTTTCACGGGAAAATCCTCTATAAATGGTGATTTTCCATAGCTATGTAACAAATTACCAGAGGGTAACCATCAACAACCAACCCCCTCAATAACCATGAACAATCACGAAGAGCCTATTAAGGGCACATGATCATTTATATGATTATGTTTGTATAATCAGTATTATGAAAGGCTTATTCATTTGCCATATCATTTGGGGGTTGATACGGAAACACTGCTGTTGAAAATTGAAGTTTTGATTTTGATGGACATGAAAACAAAAACGGGTTCATAACAAATGCAGAGCTGGCCATTGCATCACCCAAATCCTGGGTATCGAATAAAGATACCAACAACCAGCCTTGCTCCCAACACCCCAGGTACAAGGGGAGTAAATTTGGATAGAGCTAAAATCAATGAAAATTCCAGGACCCCAAAACGGAGGCACCACCCAAAGCCATAGCTCGGGGGCATATCCCCATACATAGCCCAGTTATAAGTTGGTTTATAAACCCCATTAACTATATCTACAGTATCCTTCTACGAGTTTACCGGGTCAGGTTGGCTCACCTGATTTTCTAGGGAAAACATAGGTGAAAACAGATACTTGGGCCCTAGAAAAACACAGCTGGAAAAAAAATAAATACCACCTCACTAGAAAATCAGCACACACACAAAACGGCATTTTAGACCCTGAAATGCCAAAAAATTGGTAGAAAATTGAAACCTGATCCTTGGGCTCCGGCGAAAAATGCGGAGTTTGATGTCATAATTATTTAGCATCAACATCTGAGCTATGATATTCTAGAACATTCATGTCCGGCCTCCTCCCCTCTCCCGAGATTCGATTTTTTGGATTTTTTCGAACTTTTCGAGTCTTCTCTCAAAGCGTCCTCCAAAATGAGCCCTTCCCAGCCAATAGTCGCCATGAATTCAAATTCAGAAACAATCAGAAATATATCGATACATGTTGCTATGATAAACTATGATATTTTCATATATTTTAATATACGAGCTGGTATTTCATACTACCTCCGGGGCTTCGCACCCTGGCCCGCCCCCCACATTTAAATGTCGTTACCGTACAGCATGCTGCAACTCTGTACAAAAACATGCCGCCTCAATTTCTTTCACTTCTTTCACTTTTTTCACTTCAGCAGTTTTTGGTCATAGAAGTTTCAAACAATGACTCAAAAGGAATGTGATTTTCTGGAAGTGACGCGCGCTGTTTTAAATCCAGTGCTTGATTTTCTAGAGGCCACAATTTTCCATACATGTGCCTCCCACATTTTCAAGACGCCTGCATCCAGGTCCATATTCGAAAACCATCGAAAACCTATATTCGAAATTGTTATTTTCACATATTGCCACAATGCGTCACATGTTTTCACATTGTACACATGTTCTCCATATGTTCATTTTTATATAACCCCATCCCAATGTATTTTAAGGTGTTTTCATGTTCTCAGATTTACCAGACTCGCAATTCTGGTTTAGGCGTTTTGGACTTGATTATAGAATATTTCAATATTTTTGGCGTACCCTTATAAAACAGCAGTTTTTGGTCATAGAAGTTTCAAACAATGACTCAAAAGGAATGTGATTTTCTAGAAGTGACGCGCGCTGTTTTAAATCCAGTGCTTGATTTTCTAGAGGCCAGAATTTTCCATACATGTGCCTCCCACATTTTCAAGACGCCTGCATCCAGGTCCATATTCGAAAACCATCGAAAACCTATATTCGAAATCGTTATTTTCACATATTGTCACAATGCGTCACATGTTTTCACATTGTACACATGTTCTCCATATGTTCATTTTTATATAACGCCATCCCAATGTATTTTAAGGTGTTTTCATGTTCTCAGATTTACCAGACTCGCAATTCTGGTTTAGGCGTTTTGGACTTGATTATAGAATATTTCAATATTTTTGGCGTACCCTTATAAAACAGCAGTGTTTGGTCATAGAAGTTTCAAACAATGATTCAGAAAGAATGTGATTTTCGAGAAGTGACGCGCGCTGTTTTAAATCCAGTGCTTGATTTTCTAGAGGCCACAATTTTCCATACATGTGCCTCCCACATTTTCAAGACGCCTGCATCGAGGTCCATATTCGAAATGACTATTTTCACAAGTTTTCTGTATATTAATCATATTTCATTTTTAATCCCAATCTATTTTCATGTGTTTTCAATTTCTCTGATCTACCAGACTCGCAGCGACGCGCAGGTACTCAAAGTTCCAGCCCAAGCGCTTCGGATTGGCTGTTTTCCAATTGCGAGATGCGGCAAGTGTTGCAAACTTGGACAGGAGAGAGATGGGATTAGATTTTAAGCATGTTTAAACAAAACAAAATGACCTACCAGTGCCCCTCTAGAAAATCAGGGACCACTAGAAACTCTAGGAACGTCCTCCCAGAGATGCTAAATTATTCTCCTGGATTTTGGGCACTTAAGCTACCCAGAAAATCAGGGTCTCCCGACTCAGAGGTCTCCAAAAGTTGTTCTGTAGAAAATGAGGGGGTTGATAAAAGCAGCCTTTCATCAAAATCGAAGAATTTTCGCGCCAGATTATCAGTCCTTCTTAGGGGGGTTGACCCCCCTGAAATCCTAGAGGAAACTCACACCGGTATTTTCAGAAACATAAGTCTAACTCAACTAAACTAGAAAGACAGAGCCCACTAGAAATTCATAGGCTGACTCTCCAAAATTGGGTCCGTAAAATCCGCATCTTCCGCGCCAGAAAGTTAGGCAGTTAACGAGCCGGATTTCCTAAGGAAAAGGGAACCAGTATTCAGAAACATAAGTCTAACTCAACTAAACTAGAAAGACAGAGCCCACTAGAAATTCATAGGCTGACTCCCCAAAATTGGGTCCGTAAAATCCGCATCTTCCGCGCCAGAAAGTTAGGCTCTGTCAACTTTGAGGTGCTTAAAATAGCCACGCTAGAAAATTAAGGCCCCTATGAAAGCAGCCGATCCCCAGAATACAAACCTGGGATGACTAGGAAATGAAGGCTTACAGGGGGGTTGACCCCCTAGACTTTCTGGCGGAAACTGGTAAGAGGATTCTACAGTTATATCTACCATAAACCATAGAATTCAGCCACAAAACATAAGGCAACTGAACGCTAGCTCGAACGGGGGCCCCATCCTGTAGGTACTTCCAATAAATCGCGACCTGAAACGGCCCGAAAACGACCGTCCCCAGGGGTTTCTTGCTGAACCAGTTCGATATATCCACCATTCAAAGCCAATTGCAGGAAGCCCAGTTCAACCAACTCAGCTATCATAAATCAACTACAAAACAAACCATCAAGTTCTGAATCAAGCTCTGGGTGAAATCTCCATCTTTTTTTTGAACAGATTTTCCCAGATTATAACCGTTATATCCCCAGGAAATACAACCAATTTTGTTGGTTAAATCACCATAGTATGTTTGATTAAAATCCAGAAAACATCAATATCTTATGACTTAAAACCCATATACATCCATAAATCACCATAAATATTTTGTCTATACCCTCCGGAAATCAACCATGGCTTGCTACAAAAAACCCTCCATTTTTATCGGGGAGTTTCCGAATTGCCGTGTTGGATTGCCAGAGGGAAAAGCCAATGTTCCCACGGGAAAAAATATGAAAAAACCTCTGGACATTTACCTTAGCGAACTGGAAAATACCCTCTGGTAATTTAACATAACTCTGGAAAATCACCATGTTTAATGGTAAAATCCACTATAAATGGCCATGTTCAATAGCTTTTTGTATGTTTACCAGAGGGTAACCCCTTTAAGAAATGGTAAATCATCATTTTTACCATCGATCAATTTTTAGCCATGGCCTCCATAAATCAACCATTCACTTCGATGCTCATTTTAGCCAGCGAGCTATATAACCTCCATTGATTGGGGATGTCCAATAAAACCAGTTCAGTAGGTCGAACTACGTCGTAGAATCCGAGGATAACCTGACACCAGGCTAATCATCATTTTTCGGGAAATGACCACTGTTCATAGGTTAATCATCCTTTTTTACCATCTATAAATACAACGTTTTCAAGTTCTCAAACCGTTAACCTACTGTGGATGGAAGAAATCCTGCACCAGTTGGTAGTTGGCTTATCTCGTTGTAAGTCCATTACCAACTGGTGCAGGATTTTTTCTATCCACAGCACCACATCGATCACATCTCATTGTACTAGTTGGTTGAAAACAGTTTGCCCTCTTATGGGTCATTATAATCCACAGTAAATCAGCTAGTAAAAGTCCCTATAATAGTCAATCCCCTCAAGGGTATTCTTAATTGTTCACCAAACATAGTTATACCAGTGCCATTCAAATAGCCAACTACAGTGTCATATTCCCCTAATCAACCCCAATCAAGCCTAGTTAACCAACTGTTGACCAAGCTAGATTGATTTGCAATATCCCCCTAATAATACCAGGTCCCTAATAATCCTAGGGTCTTAGTCAACCATGGTTGATTGGCTAATCATAGCTAAGTTGGTTTAACAATCAACCAATCAAACTAGTTCACTTTGTATAGTAAGAAAGTAATAGTATGCAATAGTTCACTTAGTCCACTATAACAGCAACTGTGGGAATATCTAAAAAAGTCACCAATCAATATAGTAATATAGTATATAAATTATATAGTACCAGGCTGTTTTCTTCATGGCTCACATGAACTTTTCTTGCAATGTTCACCTCGCCAGCCACCCAGCCAAATCGCGTGAGAACTTCCTCAGTCGAGGATCACTTGGTCGTGGTTCATTGATGTGTTGAAAAAATGCAACGTTGGAACGGTGGGAAAATGTGGGAAATACCACGTAATTGGGACATGAATAAATTGGGATGAAGTTGTGAGCTTACCATTGATCTTTCGCTTCTCATTGAGACATGTTGATAGATTTTGGCTGCGGAAATGCAATTTGAAGCAACACTAAGTGGTGATGTGAAGACGACATGAATAGATTGCGGAACGCATGGCCTTAGCTAACAAACAACATGAAATTCCTTCCCATCAAGAATAATGCTAAAAAAGAACCTTAGGAAAACCTTGTTTCACAAGTCTTCCAGTCTTGGCTAAAACAATTCATGGATCGAAAATAACAAAAACAGGTGATATGTGGTTAAAACAATCATAAACCATCCCCAAATGGGTGGTTTATTATTGGTTTCACTGTTTTTGTTAGCTTGGATTAAGTTCCAAATTATTGGTTTATTATTGGTTTAACCACATTACTATCATTGGTTTAACCACATTACTGACTTAAGTTCCAAAGTACCACCTTTCAAAGGCCCCAGCCTCGGGCTTGCGCCCCACTGGAGGACCCAAGAACTAATCGACTGTCCATCCCATTGGTAATTTCCACGACCCTCAAACGTGGCAGCAATCGAACATCGTAAACTGAGTGGCCACTTAACTTGTGCTAACGGCAGGGAATTTTCGGGAATGATCCCTGGCCAACTATCAATAATCCCAGCAAACCCCATTCCCATCCATTTCCTACGTTTACGGGTACGTTTAGCACCAGTAAATGGATGGTTTAAATGCAAATATCATCAAATATCATCTATAGATGAGGGATATTCCAGTGCCATGTTTGATTACCAGAGGGTGACAATAAATTTAGTTCCACCAGGAACACCACGTCTACCCTCTGGTAATTTAACATAGCTATGGAAAATCACCATTTTTAATGAGAAAATCCACTATAAATGGCCATTTTCAATAGCTATGTTAGTTTACCAGAGGGTAGACAAAGCATCCATATTCTACAGAGTTTACTTAGTGAACGCACACAGAGATTCCAGGGCAAATTTGCACCCGTGGACCCCAAACAGTCAGTCATGTGGGTTTGTCGGAAAATGTCGTATGTTGAATGCCGTTGCTTCAAAATCAAATCACTTAGCCTCCAATGAACTAATATACTCCCAGTAGCTGTGGAACTTGGTCAATTTCTGGTGATTTTCCATAGCTATCTTAGTTTACCAGAGGGAAGTTCCAAGTTTGAAGAAATCACAGGTACCTTCCATGCAGTAATCAAACATGGCTTGAAGATTTTCCCAGCAACCTCCATGGCTAGTTCGGGGATCCAGGGGCCCGCCATGTTGACTTACCAGCCAGAGACATTCCTGGTTGGTGGTTTTAACCATCTTGAAAAATAATTATTAGTCAATGGGAAGGATTATCCCATATATTATGGAAAATAAAAACTGTTCCAAACCACCAACCAGATTCACAATGACTAATCGAACCCGAGGGACTCAACGAGGGACTCAACGTGTTGCACTCGTCTCGGTGACATGACAAAACGATCCCTGAAATATCGACCAAATTAGCTCAACTATGGGGCATCAGGGATCATCTATTGGACAAAAAACATCCAAATCATGTTTTTTTTTGAAAACATGGGTGCCCCCAAATCATCCAAAAGTAGACCATTTTAGGACGCCCCCACCCCCATATGAACCACGACATTCACACTGAACATCATCACTTTCCACCATGAACCCACTATGGCGTCGAAGATCCACTGGGCAGCCGAAGTGAAATCCTTCACCAAGTGAATCGCACATGGGCCTGCAAAAACAACACGGCGAGTTTTTTTTGGTGGAACATTCAACACATTTTTGGGCAAGAGATGAGAGTTATTTACTGTATAATTATATTACACAACAACTATAATACGACAATGGACAAGAAGACACACATTGTAATATTGTAAATAATATATATTTATAATGATAGTAGATATAAGTGAAGGTGTCTAGCAATAACAGCAATAACTAAATAATGTTTGAAAAACGCAGGAAACAAGACACCAGTTTTGACGCTGCAATCTATTTCGCTGCAGATTTACCCTTAAACCAATCATTCTTTCACTGGCCAAAGGTGATATTTCACCTACCTCACATTAAGGGTAAATGTAAGAACCCCTGGGATATTCATATGCATACACACACACACATATATATGTGTATATGAGTATAGCGAACAACAAGATTATATGTTAAATTTAATGCCATGCATAAGGTCGTACCCTGTCGGTTGTGAGGATTTCAATATTCCCGGAGGTATCACAAATGGGGTATCGGTATAGGGTCGTCCCCTATCGGATAGGAAGCTTTTGTGCAACCTCGGAAAGGCCAAGGCGAAGCAAAGCTAAATTAGTATTATAATGATTTTGTCGGTTACTCAAAAATCTGGGTAAATTATGATAATTCACTACCCTGAATTAAGGCCATTTGGGGATCATTTCCCTTATTAATTAACCATAATTTCCAGTGAGGGAGAACAGTGAGGTCGTGATTAAATTTACCCAGATATATACATACTTGTAGATTCACCCAACATCAGCATGTCACATACAATGTGAGGCCCCCCAGTGATGTGAACGTTGGTTTAGAGATAAAAGCCCCAGTAGCTAGTTCGTTATTTGCGTACCATAAACCATAGTCATTGGAGTTATGTGCACCAACTTAGCTATCGAACGGGGGCTTCACATTGTCAACTTCATATCAACACAGGGCCAACTTCATATCCGGCTCCACTGCCGTAGGTTTGTTCTGTGGATTTCCGGATTTCTGGGACTGAAATGTTGTTGTTGGTGGTTGACCTACCCTACCCCTCTGAAAAATGGATGGAGTGAAAGTCAGTTGGGATGAAAATTCCATTCCCAATTTTTGTGGAAAGTCATTCAAAATTCCATGGTTCCAGTCACCACCAACCACTTATTGTTTTAGAAACTCCATTAACAACATATAAAACCTCTATAGTTGATATAGATTTATATCATGGTTCCAGTCACCACCAAGCAGATATTCACGTTGATACCCGTAAAAAATCTGAAGTCGATGCAACGGATCCATTTTCCTGTTGGCGAACGGGGATTCCCAGTTGGATTATGAAACATTATGAAAATCCCATAGAATTCCCAGTAGATTGACTAGATTTGACTAGTATTTCCGCCGGGAAAAATCACCAGTCAACATTGTGTAACATGGGTCTAGCCACTGAACTCATCTGATGACTCCCGGCAAGTGCCGGCTGCCTGAGTTCTGCACTGCCAGCTTTGTTCACTTCAAGCCAAAGGCTGCGACAATTTGTGGCCACTGCTGAGAATGGTTTCGTTCTGACCCCTTCCAACAGTTTTTGTTTTTGTATAGCTATACTGACATCTATGATCCAGTTGTGTTTCAATCTCACTTGTTCTTGATGAACCCCCGATTCTTTCTTGTGAAACTCATGTTTCATGGTGAAATTATTTTTTTTGGGGGGGTGAAAAATCTCCATGCTTGTCGCTTAAAAGTTTTTTTTTCATTAAATCCACACGTTCAATGATTTTCATGGTGAAAAAAATCATTTTTCTTGGGAAAAAAATTGTTCCCTTGGTGAAATCCACATTGTGAAATCGGTGAAGCCCGTGACATCCCCCAGTGTTGCTTGTGTCCCCATTTTTGATGGTTAAATTCCTACGTTTGTTGCGCCATTCCCCACAGCTTCGCCCGCCATCTAGGCATCCCCTACAAGGCTTAGGGATCCTTTGGCAACAGATTTGGCCTCGCCAGGCATGGATTTTTTGAATCCCAAAAAATCATATGGGATAATAATGGGATAGTAGTGGGTTGATAGTTAATACTGGATGCAATAAGTGAATAGTGGATTGAATAGCTGAAAAATGGACTAAAGATAGTGAAACGATGCACATAATATGGTTTACTACTGAATATCGATGAGTTTGGATGATTATTAATCATTATTGATGGTTATTGAATGTTATTAATGGTTATTAATGGCTATTAATGGTTATTAATGGTTGTTAGTGGTTACTAATGGTTGTTAATGGTTATTAATGGTTATTAATGGTTAATTGTTATTAATGGTTAAAATAATCATGGGATGATATAAGATAATATGGTTTACCAATCATTATCAATGATGGTTAATATTTTCCCCACCTGCCAGGTGAGGGTTGTTAGATTTTATGTCAGTTGCCTGGTCCTCCTCGTCCTCCTCGTCCTCCTCCTTCTCCTCCTCCTCCTCCGCCTCCTCCTCCTCCTCCTCTCGTTGTCCTCCTCGTCCTCCTGCTCAACTGCGACTCGCGATCCACAGTGTTCTCTGCCGGACCTCCACCACGACCATCACCGCCCAGTGTTCCCTGCCGGACCTCAACCACGACCATCCACGCCCAGTGTTCCCTGCCGGACCTCAACCACGACCATCCACGCCCAGTGTTCCCTGCCGGACCTCAACCGCGACCATCCACGCCCAGTGTTCCCTGCCGGACCTCAACCGCGAGTATCCATGCCAAGTGTTCCCTGCCGGACCTCATGTAGGAAGATATGGGACAAAGAATGTGCAGAAGAAAGTTAGAACGAATGTCAGAAAGAATGTCAGAAGATATGCCAGAAGATATGCCAGATAGAATGCCAAATAGAATGCCAGATAGAATGCCAGATAGAATGCCAGAAGATATGTCAGAATATATGCCAGAAGATATGCCAGATAGAATGCCAGATAATATGCCAGATAGAATGCCAGAAGATTTGCCAGATAGAATGCCAGAAAATATGCCAGAAGATATGCCAGATAGATATGCCAGAAGATATGCCAGAAGATATGCCAGAAGATATGCCAGAAGACATGTCAGAATATATGCCAGAAGATATGTCAGATAGAATGCCAGAAGATATGTCAGAATATATGCCAGAAGATATGCAAGATAGAATGCCAGAAGATATGTCAGATAGAGTGCCAGAAGATATGCCAGATAGAATGCCAGAAGATTTGCCAGATAGAATGCCAGAAGATATGCCAGAAGATATGCCAGATCATATGCCAGAAGATATGCCAGATAGAATGCCAAATAGAATGTCAGAAGATATGTCAGATAGAATGCCAGAAGATTTGCCAGTAAGAAAATGTATAAATGTCATGGTGGGGATCACACGAAGTAAAGTAATTTGATTATTTATAATTATTCAGAGTATAAATGATTATTTATGATTCTTGACGGTGGTTAATATAGTCTCTGGTTACGAATAATGTAGCGAACTGGAAAATCACATGTTTTCATAGATAAATCGTCATGTTTATCATCTATAATGGGCCATGGTTTCCATAGTGATGTGAAATAACCAAAGGGTACATACAACACGGGGCTTATGTGAAATAGCCGCCAGAGAGTACATTCAATTAACCAGAGGGTACATGTGAAATAACAAGATAGCTAAGTTGGTTTATAACTAGGCGAAATAATTATGGCTTATGGTAGATATAGCTACGTATATTTTATGGGATTTATAAACCAACTTAGCTATCTAGGGGACCCCACATGGTAGCAATCCCCAAAACGATAGAAACGTAAAATCACGCAAAATCCGACCAAAATAGTGAGAACTGACTTTCCATTCTGATCTTTTCGGAGTTGCTATACCGCTTAAAGAATGCGGTCTGGTTCATTACCGGCTTTGCCACGAGCAGAAACAACAAAAGATGCCTGTGTCAATCTGGGTCGTTGCACATCTCCACAATGCGGCGCTGACTGGGCTATAGTCTATGGCAGCATATGATATATATATATATATATATATAGTAATATTATTATTATTACTATTATTATTATTGTTATTAATTTTTATTATGATATCATTTATGGCCAATCTTTAATAGTCCACATAAAAAAAACGCTGGTTGTGATTCGTGTCGATCTAAACTATCCAAGGTTGGGGACGAGTTGGTTATTTACGAAGAAAAGCGGATGGGTCAGAACCCTGTATCCCAGGTGAACATCAATATAGCTGGTAAGGGGATGTTCATCTAACAATTTCATAAATTCTATCTATAGAAATCTATAGATATCTATATAGCTATTGATACATAGCCATATGTTATCATAGTTTGCTATGTATATCAATACCTATAGGTATCTATATCTAGTAGATATATAAATACCATAGTTAACATTGCTATATATAAATATATCTATTGATACACATCTATAGGTGAAAACTGTGGTTTCTCGTAGATCCAAAAATCTCGTGTTGACACCGTGTCGCTGTGGCCATCATCTGAGCGTTCCGACTGCACGGAGGGTTCCTAAGACCAGCACCAACATCAGCAACAGGATCACCTGATCAGCTTCCATCAATGGATCAATCTGGGTAAATTACAATATTTCACTAACCTGAATTAAGACGTCAGATACTGGTTGGTTATATCTATATCTATATCATTATATATGTAGTATATAAATATATCTGGTCAAATTATAACGACCTCACTGCGACCGAACCCTGGAAATCATAGTTAGTAAGGGGAATCATCCGAAAATGGCCGAACTATTCACGGTAGTGAAATATTATAATTTACCCAGATCAATGGATCAATGGCTGGTTGGACAATGGAAAATCCTTGCTGGTGGTTGACCTACCCGAAATATATGGTGATTGTATTGTTTAATATGGTGCAAAATCCCATTGATGATCATAGTTACTTATATAGCTGGTGTATGCAGTCTATGCACCTAAAGACCTATATTGCACGTCAGAGACACTGGGAATTCACAAAGGAGAAGACCCTGCTGCCCAACAGTCATATTGGCAAGGAAAACTCACAGCAGCAAAGGGGTTGTTCACCTGTGGATCAACAGCAGCAGCGGCCGCGGCACCGGTGCTCGTGTGTGGCAGCTCTGCCATGTCAAACACTGACGTCTCCAGCAGGTTCTCCCCGATCGGCAGGCCAGTTACTGCGAGCAAGGAACCCTGTGAGTTGGTTTTGATGAACTGCTTAATCATTCTTAATCTCACTCTTCCATCCATCACCAACCAGATGCAAGGCGGCTTCCAAATCCTCCAGCTGCAGCAACTCTGAGATAGTGGCCAACGCTTGCGTTTCCACCATATGCACCGACGCAGCACACGGGGCCACACACCCAAAGTACACAGACGACATCAGAGCTCGGCAGCTGGTATATGAAGTGGCTCCGAGCAAGCAGGCAGTCAGCAATCTCAACCTGATCTCCGCGGGCCTGAAAACATCCAAGCCCTTCTGGTGCTGGACGGCTTGTGCGCTGGTCGACCGCGTGTCCACAAGCATGGACAGGAGTCTCTCCTCAGCAAGGCGGAAGCCCATCAGCGGCAAGCCGTCCCTCGCATGTAGATAACCATCCTGGCTCAAAGCCGTGCCTTCAGGAAGGTGTGTAAATTGGCCGGCAGCCAGCGGATACATCGTCATGCCCAGAAACTTGATAGGCTCACTCTATATAGCTGGTTGGTGGTATACCTACCCCTCTGAAAAATATGACTTCGTCAGTTGGGATGATGAAATTCCCACCTGAATGGAAAAATAAATTTCATGTTCCAAAACACCAAAAATGGATAACTTTGGATAACTGGTGGCACCAAGCCGTAACTGATGTTCAAATGGCGGCCAGGGCTAGAGTCATGTCATTTTCCATGTCATTTTCCGCAGAGGTTGGCAACCAGTAGTGGTACTGTGGGGGTTTAGTTCACCCACTTACAAGGTGGTGCCCCCCCAGTTATAAATGGGTTATAATCCCATTCACTATAGATATATCACCTATAAACCATAATTATTGGACTTATAAACCAACTTAGCAATTCCGAACTGGGGCACCACCCACTGAAATTTGATTGGTGCTTTAAGCATTAAAAATGCTGGGTTTTTCATTGGATTTACCGTAACCATTGAAACTGTTGCTTTGACCATGAACCTGGTGATGGAGTTGTTCATGGGCCTGCTGACTGCTGACCTTGTGAAGTTCACCGGAGAACTTATACCCTCTGGTGACTTCATGAGATTTTATGGGATTTTATGGTGACTTCATAGGAATTAACAGGATCTTATGGAATTTACTGGGAGATACCCTCTGGTAATTTAACATAGCGAACTGGAAAATCACCATTTCATAGCTGGGTAAATCAACTATTTCTATGGCAATTTTCAATAGCTATGTAACAAATTACTAGAGGGTACTTCATAGATCTTCATAGCCGGAGACGGCATGATGCATCTTGTAAAAAAAACATCATTTTTGTAATCCTGAATCGAAGGCATACTTCAGTGATACATGATCCTTGTCCAGTGCAGAGTTCCTGCAACCTGCCAGTCCCAAAATGATAGAAAGTGGGATCAGCTCGCTGATCAAACTCAAGTCAACCTAGTGAAGAAACGCTGAAAATAAACCTGTTGCTTGGGCGCTTCCAAAGATATGTGCGAATTGCCAACACAAA